TGCATAGAAAAGCGAAGAGGGCCAGGGACAGCTCTGGGATTCTCCAGCCTATTCGTGGGTCTGGTCAAGGGAGAAGAGCCAGCAAAGAACTTGAGAAGGTACCGTGGGCGAGTGTGAGGTAAAAGGACACGCGTGACTATTAGAGGCAAGTATTTCAAGGCTTATTATTTCAAGCAGAATTAACCATGTTGGTCGCTGCTGAGGAAGGTGTCAAGCAAGATGAAGACAAGAGATTTAGCCTGGGCAAGATGTTTATCATTGACCACCATCCTAAGACTGTTTAACTGGAATGGCCGTATGAAAGCATGATTAGAGTGAGTTTTGAAGCAAATGGGAGATGCAGACTAGAGATGAAGAATACGACAACTCTTCTGAATACTTTTTGTTGTCAAGAGAAATGCTGTGGTAGCTGGGGAAAGATGTGAGACCAACAGAGATACTGTTTTTCGATGAGTGATATTGACTCACGTTCTTATTTCAAAGAGAGCGATTCTCATTCGATTCTGCACTTGATAATGTTGACCATTAAGACCATTAAGATAGGTCTCTTAAAATACTTTTATCTTTAATTTCTAGGACACGATGCTTAGCTTATCTTCCTACTTCCACTGGTTCCTCCTTCTCTATCTCTTTTGCTTAGTCATTCTCCGCTATCAGAGAGGGTTGCCCTGTAGTTGTTCAGGTTAAAAACTGCAGGAACATTAGGGGCACCATTTATACCAACTACCACACGAATCGTGTTCCCAGAGTCATACCACACACACGCGGCACAATTCTAAGTGCTGGTGCTTATTACCAGCCTCGGAACACATTTTTTATTTGAAGCATACAGAAACAACATTATATGTTGGTGTTTTGGGTTTAAGGTAAAGAATAGAAATGTACCAAAGCTGCACCACAATAGCAATCATAACATACTTGTGAAGGAAAAATGGGTCTTGGGATCCAATTGAAAATGTTGGATTTCTGAAACATTTTCACCATCACTAAAATCATTGCCAAAAAAAGAAAAAGCCTTACAAAGGAGCTTTTCTTCTTCCAAGTAGCCTCTCTTTTCAAAGCAGAAAACTGAGGCAGAGATAGTTAATCTTTACATTCAAAGTCAGTTGGCAACTGTGGACAGCACTGCAAATCATTAACCCACCCTACCTGTTGGAAACATAAGAAGCAACAGTTAAAATTTACATGTAATGGAGATAAATAAAAGCTCTCTAACTAAATTAATTTTAACTTGCCTAAATAAAACAATTGAAAAATAGAATTCTTTTTATTTGTAATAAAGCCCAACCTGAGAAGAAGCCACATACATACAATTGATGTATGTACATGTGAATGTACATACAATTGATGGTTTAACCTTTCAGTGGAATTCTATTCAGGAAAAAAAAGAAAGAAAGAAAAAGAAATGAGATGCTAGTTATACTACAACGTGGATGAATAATTATTCTGAGTGAAAGAAGTCAGACAAAAAGAGTTTATATAAACTTCTAGAAAAGGCAAACTAATCTATTGTGACACAAAACAGCAGATCGGTGGTAGCTTACGGGCAGGGGACAGGCAAAAGGAAGGGATGACAAAGGAACATGAGAAAACATAGGGTGATGGATTTGTTCGTTATCCTGATTGTGGTCATTGTTTCATGGGTTTATACATAGGTCAAAACGTATCGAACCATATACTTTAAATATATATAGTTTATTGTATGACAATTATACCTCAATAAAGCTGTTAAAAAAAAAAGAAAAAAGGATGCTTGATTTCAGCATGTCTGAAATTAATTATGCAGCCTTTGATCTAGTGTCAGAAAGTGAAAGCAAGAGTAAACATTTTGCAGCACAGCAGTGACAATGGGATTAGAATGTCACACCAAGATCCATAAAACCGAGTGCCACTTTTAAAATGCACACAAATTCTTTCAGGTTCCCGTTGCATTTCCAGTTGTATCTTTAAAGAGAAGTATGTGTCTTGTACTTGCTTCTTAAACAGAAGCAACATGACAGTATTTGATTTATTTCACTTCTGTGACATGGGTTCAGAAGTTCAATAGCTCCACATACATAACAAAAATTCCTTCCAAATTCATTCTTGTGCTCTTCTTGGCTGTGTCAACTAGCTTATCTCTGATGAGGATTCAGTCTGCATATCTCATAGTCCATGAATGCCATCCTACAACCACTGCCTTTGTCTCGGAAACCTTTAAGGAGAGGACAAAACAGCGACTGGTGCACCCATTTTTTCCTTATTTCGAGCTCCTAAAGCAACTGTGTGCCCTGCGCAGACATCATGTTGTTGTTGACTGACACCCTGAACTTGATTCACTTACAAATTTTACTTAACCTAAAAACAGAACGAGAACCATGTGTTACAGTACTGAGCGATCATTGGGTGGACACACAATTTGTGAACTATCATTCCCAGGGATTTAAACTGCTCTTGAGCGAGCACTCTGTATAAATTGAGACCTGGTAGGCTCCCAGGGAGTGGCAAAGATCTACGTTTATTGCTGAACTTTGGCACAACACGCTCAACTGATTGGTGGTGTTCTGGGACTGCTTAGCTGGGTGGGGATGAGCGTGCCTCGGCAGAATAATTGAGTATTATTAGCATAACTTTTGATTTTCATAACATTAGAGTAATCAAGGATCATTGTTTCTTGACTCAGAGAAATTTAAAAAATGTGAAATGAGTTAATTCAAGAAATTAGTTAAAAATCAAAATATAGAAACGGATCTAGTTAAAAGGCTTACTGTTGAACAGATGGAGAATAGAGTGAGAAGGTCTAGGCATCTACTATGATCAAAATCAAAATAAGTTAACTTTTAATTTTTTTAAACACTTAGAGTCACCATTCAGTGCAATTGGTGACAGGAAAATGCATACTAATTTAAAATGAAGGCAAATAATAATCTCCAAATTCCACTAAAGCAATTTAAACTCCTTTAGCCATTTGGAAGCTTTTTAAATTGTAAAATATATCTTTTTAAAATTCTGACTTAAAAACTGAAAATTAGATGGTAACTTACTAGATTTAGATTCTCTTTGTGTTTTAGATAACATTGACTTCTCTTGACAGAAAGTCAGGGAGCCAAAAAAAAAAAACAAAACTTACTTATCACTCTTGTCTGTATCCCCAGGCTATAACTTGCCCACCATAAATTCCAGACAGTATAACAGAGATTATGGAAGGAAAAACTATGCTGAGACTAGTGGGTTTACAAAGTAATCTGGTGATTATTTTAGTGTATTTGCTAGAATAATTTAGAAATGAACAGACACAAATTATTCACTTATAGAGCAATTATTGGGTTTTGTCTGCTTATTTTTTAATAAAATTGTTTAAATTCTGTGTTTGTTTCAGGGCTCTTACCTTCTGCACAACTGCCTGTTTATTGTGCTTCAAAGCATGGCGTAGTTGGATTCACACGCTCAGCAGCGGTGAGGTTATAACAACCACAATCTCTCTTTTTCTCTTTCTGTATGTGTGTGTGTGTGACATGAGTTCTATAAAGTCGAGGAGAATGAAGTCAGAATTCAATATATCTAGGTTAAAGATAGAAAAATAAAATTATATTTCAATTTTTATTATAAAAATTATATTTCAATTTTTATTATAAAAAATAGCTTCAGATTACATAAAAGACCCAGTAAAGAGCAGATAATTTTAAAGTGAAGTAGATTCTAAACACAGATATGTTATTGAAAAATATCCTAAGGCTAAATAATGGAAAGATAGTTATTATTAAAATTGACTCCAAATCTAAAAATTATTAAATTCAGGCTTCCTTACACAGAATATGCAGTATGTTCCAGACATTACCCTTTACTGAAGATGCTATTAAAATGAGCGAGAGAGAGTGGGGGTGGGCTGGAGGCGTGGGGCAGGATTTACTTGGTTGTCGAGGACATCGTCTCCATGGAGCCTAGGATGAAGGGCGTACAGAGCTTAGAAAAATATTTTAGACCTAATTGACCGCATGCGGTGATAGTGTGAAATGGGAATGCTTGCCTTTTCATAATAACTGGAATGAAGATAGCTTAAGTGGAGCTTGCTGAGCGGGAAAGTAGGATGAAGAATAACTAGAGATGTAAGCAGGAGCCAGACCAAGAAAGGTTTACGGGGCCTGGTAATGAGCTTAGATTTTACTCAATGGGTTTTTAAAACACAGAAGTGGCAAGATCAGATTTCCATTTTAAGAAGACCTTCTGGCTGCTGTTTGGAATGTGTTGGAGAGGACAAGTGTAGAAGAGTAAAGGACATTGGGAGATCTCTGCAGTGGTTAGTCTCGGTGAGACAGAGACAAATGAAGAGAAAAATAGTAACAGTCGAATGAATACTAGGGCTGAAGAAAACAGATGCGTGACCAGTAAATGTTCAATCAAAAAGAAAGATAAGCAGCTCTACAACCTTAATTTAAATTGATTGAAAATTCTTATTTAATTCGTAAAGACTTAATCTTTAATTCAACTTGAATGCACACGTAAAGCTATTAAAAAGCAAAATAAATCTTAAAGACCAGAAATTTCATATTTACAATCGCAAGATAGGCAACTTGTGAAGTCAATTGTCCTTATTTCTGGTAGTTATGTTCTATAAAAATCACTTGCAAACACTGAGAGAATTAGAGAATACTGAACCATTACTCCTAGGAGACATATAGGGTTAAGTTCCTGCAAGCCTCTGGTCACAACATTTTGATCAGCCAGTCAATACATATGTGAATTTCTACTTAAAGTTGTATGTGATTTCTGTCTAATGATATCTCATTTATTATGTATTGTGTTAACATTGAACTCATGGCCAACGGCACTTATGCTTTTCGAGTGAGGCTGATCTAACCCATGTATTTTCTCTAGAAGACACATCTTAGGAACTAGACAGTACTTCAGCACTACGCTTGGGGGAAGGGAGCATTTTTAAATAGCAAAATCACCAACAGAAAGCCCCAAAATAAGAAAAACAAGGACTAAATACTCCATGAAAAGGACACTTGTTTATAGTTAGAGAAGCTGAAACAAGGAAACAGAGCGTTGTTTTGTTTGACCTCAGTGGCAGCATCTGTGTCTGGCAGCTTATATTTCTCAGTGTGCTTGTCCACAAATGACCCCGAAAGCTCCATAAGTATTGATCTGGGGGAGTTACAAATAAATTTTAGCAAGTAAGCAAATGGAATCCTCAAATAATCAACTACATTTTGTTTTTAAAATGGTTCAAATAAAATCAGTAGGTTGAAAATTTAGCCAAAGAACGTTAGTCTGAAAATACTCAAATTGTCTTCCAGATAGTTAAGAGTGTCTTTAGAATCAAAGTCCTAAAACTTTTCACCAATGGTATTTTTTAGGCAGATATCTTCTGTTATGCAACCTCGATCTTGGAAAGAAAATTTGGGATATTAATTTTAAGTCTCAGCTTCTTACCTTCAGGTTCCTGCAGAGTTCAGTAGATAAGAGCAGCTTAGATAATTAAGTATTTTCAGGGGTTGCCCAGCAGTATTAATTTCTTAAAAAATTAATTAGGTGAGATTTTCAGAATTAATTCAGCACTTTATATATATATTCTTTTACTTTCTGCTACCAGCCAACCTTAACATTGGCAATGTTATAAAGTTAGAAGGATATCTGACTAGTATTTTTCACATAAAAGTCTTTTAAACAGTTTTAATTATCAGTTTGTCCTATGCTGCACATTTACGAAACTACTGAAATTTGCAACCTTCTACTTCCAATCGGCAGATGGCTGCTAATCTTATGAACAGCGGTGTGAGAATGAATGCCATTTGCCCAGGCTTTGTTAATACTCCCATCCTCGAATCCATTGACAAAGAAGAGAACATGGGACAATATATAGAATATAAGGACCACCTCAAGGATATGATGAAATACTCTGGGATTTTGGAGTAAGTAAAACTATTCCAAATTTTTTTTTTTATATGAGAAAGCAAAGTACTATTTAGACATAAGCAATAAAAAGGGGAAAAGTAGGGCTTTCAACTTGAGAAACTAATGCAAGCTTCAAAGTCTTGCTTTGGTGAACTCTGAAAGAAAATACTTTTTCTGGGTTGCTGAATAGAATGTGCTTGTTTAAACATTATGAATTTTGCTTTGAGATATAGACAATGTATCATTAATACCTTCAGCCATATCAGATATTTTTAATTTTTTTTATGCTTTTTAAATTTTTTTATGGTGACATCCGTTAACGAAATTCAATAAATTTCAGCTGTACACTTTAACAGTAAGGCATATCTATATTTACACTGCATGTTCACCTCCTATAGTTAGATTTCTTTCTGTTACCAAATATTAGACCCCCTTTACACCATCTACCTCCCCCCTCCCCTCTCCTCCTTCCGCTCTGGTAACCACTAGTCTATTGTCCCTGTCCATGAGTCAATCAGAATTTTTTTTTAAAAGGCGATGTTTAGTTACCTATGGCAGTAATGTTACCTTATCTGCCAAATTCCAAGCAGTATTCACATATACGCTTTGTGAAATTTCATATGGCTCCCCAGCTTCAACGATTTACATAAGAAACAATTGATCAACGCACATGTTTAGTGAACGATGTCTGAGTTAGAGTAATAAGAGCTTCACAGCATGAACTCATTGGTGTCATGTTGAAGGAACCAGACCATCTGGGATCAAACCCTGGCTCCACCACTGACCATGCACTTGTTTGTCAAACTCAATTTTTTCACGCGTAAAATAGTGATAATACTAAAATAAACTTAGTGGACTTTTGAAAGTCCACGAACAAGTTGACACACATAAAGTACTTAAAATGGCCAACAGACAAATAATAGACATTTAATAAATGTTAGCTATACTTCTTCCTATTTCTACTCTAATAATATTTCTGATAAGTCTAAGATCTACTGATAGGATAAAGATGAGAAAATAGTCATTTTCGCAATGTAAGTAATACATATAAATTCATAAATCCTTCCCGTCAAAATGACAGAAGATTGGGCATGGAAATCTACCACTGAATTTATCATGTGATTTAATTAATACCTAATTAAATAAAAATGGAAGTAGCAATAGTTTCATGATATACATTTTCCTATGACATGTTAAAGGTAATAGATTATTCAAAAATAATCAAAACGAAGTGATAATTATGCCTCATCTTTAGTTTTAAAACACCAATTTTTTTTTACTTTTAGCCCATCGATGATTGCCAACGGCTTAATAACACTCATCGAAGATGATGCTTTAAATGGTGCTATTATGAAGATCACAGTTTCTAAGGGAATTCATTTTCAAGACTACGATGTAATTCCATTTCATGTAAAAGCTCAGTGAACATCTTATATATCAGCCATAACTGAAAATAAGCACACGTGACTTATATGCAGACCATATCTTCATTCGAATATAGCTTTTTAAATGAAATGTTATCATTTGAAGCTTCCCTTTATGCATTTGATGTTAATTTCTTTCTAAATGATTAGTTAAGTCTATGGATACAAAATTAGGAACTATAAAAATATGATGTTGGCCAAAGCTAAATTTTGATACTCAGAGTCTAAGTAAGGATTAAAATAAAGGATATTCAAGGAATATTCTGCTTTGCCTTTAATACTCTTTGTGCTTTGAACTAATTTTTTCAATAAACTATGCAGGCATTTAAAATGGAATACTGAGTAGAACTGAAAAAAATATGATTTATATTTCCAAAAGTTATTTACATTAAATTTATCTTCTATAAATATCTTTTAAAAATCTAGAATGTTATATGAGATCTCTATATACTGGATGATAAAAAAAATAAGTATTAAATTTGGTGGGGGAGTCTTAGTTTCCTTAACTGTATTTTCCAGTGAAAATCCTAATGTAAATAATATGTATTCTTTTCTAATGTATTTTTCTTAATAAATGAAGTAGGGCACCCAGAGAAGCAAAACTAAACATATGTGAACACTGAAAAAAGACTGAGACTTGATAACGACATTGAAATGTCCAACAAACTTATTTTTCCCATCTTGTAGTACCATTTAAGATGCAAATAATTATGTGATGATTTCTGTCTGTTTTTCCTCTGTTAATAAATTTAGAATACTGAAGAGATCTGAAAATGTAAATTTTTAATAAAATTTAAGTCATTTCATATACTAAATATTTGACGGATAGCTATTTTCTTACATTAGTATTTCAAAAGTCACATATACTGGTACATGAGAAGAGGTGACTGGATCCAAAGTCACAGATGTTGTCATTAGTCCTCCATCTCGTTCCTCTTATTGGGTTCCCTCCTAGGCAGCTCTCCCCAACGTGATGCTTCCAGCGTCCACCGTCTGATTCTCACCAGCCAAAACAAGAACTTGTTTTCAGCAACAGGGGTCATTGACCTTTCTTAGCTTAGGTGGCAATTACTGAGACATTCCTTATAGTCAGAGAGATGGCTTGACCAGAACCAAATGACATGCCTCTCCCAGAGCTGGTAGAATTGGAGAATGGCAGGGGACATGAGAGATGCAGGAAATGGTCCTGAACCTTGTGGACTAAGAAAAGGAAAGGGAAAGTTTCCAAGAGGAAAGTTATGCTGTCATTGCCGCAAAGTGGGCGATTACAGACTGAACTAACAAAACAAGGGACAGCTACTGTAGAGGAAACAAAGAGTGCATAAAGGATTAATTATGCCTTAATCCTTTAGATAAATTTTCAGAGACTGTCATGGTTCCTTTAACATGCCTAGATTCATGTTTTTCAAACTGTATATGTCACGACACATTGGATAGGATATGATAGAAGAAGAAAAGAGAAGAAAATGAATAAAGAATACAGTAGGCATCATATGCGTGTATGATTGTGTTTGTTCTCAGTATAAAATATATTTCTTATTGTGAGTCAAAGTGAAAAAGGTTCAAAAACTACTTGCTTTAACATTGACTATAGTCATTGCTTCTAGACGCCCTTCAGTTCTGAATTTCTGACTGTTACTATTTCAATCCTATATTTCTCTTCGAATATATTCACACCTTTTCTAATTCTTCATACTAATGTGTCATTAGCAGCATATAATTACACTAAATTTGAATAGGAATTTGTAAGTTTAACTTTGAACCATTAAAATACCCCCACCTTCAGTTTTCAAGTAACACTTCCACATATACTCACTCATTCGACAAATAATTACTGAACAATTTTTTTGGTCAAGTTTATACACACGTTTCAATATGTTGTAATCTACGTAGATACTAGTGCAGACATTTACTGATTAAGGTCTGGTCCAGAAAACAGCAGTGAAGTCTGAAGGAATCTAATAAGGGGAACTGCTTACAAAACTATTGGAAGAACTAAAGAGCTATACGTGAGATAATGATCCAACCCAGTGTCAACTGCAGAACAGAATTAACTAGGTAGTCCACCACCAAAAAGGATTTTTTCAGGAACAAGAAAGGATTGCAATTCAATGTATGCAGACATGGTGAGCCACATGCACACATTGACCTCGGACAAAGATGAAGAAGGAACTTAAAGAAGGGAAGAGGTGGTTACAATGATAGAGCTCTGTTGTAAACATAAAAGTTTTTCCTATAGGGTTCTCGTGATAACACAGACTGTGGGGACCCCTACCATAAGCCCTACCTCCTCCCACAGACCCTCCTAATTGATTATGTCTGGTTAAAGTCTCTGTCATGATTTTTATCACCAGCAGCAGGAAGGCACCATCACTTCCAAACCAGTGGGACTCAGGAGATTACCAAACACCCAGGAACCATTAGGGGAGGCTGCCAGGCCAAGCTGAGACCACAGAGCAGGGCTGTCCGGTGGGAGTTGGACCCTGAAGGAGGCAGCCACTGCCAGAAATGAGAATAGGAGGAAGGACTACCCTGATATCTTCCATCTGCTTGCCCTTCAGTATCCTGTCAGCGTGTTTCAGTTGAGATGGGAGTTGGGAAAATGTAGTTTGCAGGGTCAGCCCCTTGTGATACAGAGCTGGCAGCGTAATGACAGGGAATGGATTTGGAAACAGACCGGAAATGACAGGCATGACATACATTTGATATTTTCCCTGCTACAATCATATATTTGAGCTTGCTACATAGTACCTATTAAAACTTATTTTTAAGAGACAGGAATAAAGATATCACTCTAAGTCCATCAGAATAAAATGCTGTGACTTTCTGGAGTCTAGTTCCACAATAGCTAATGACCCTGCAGTCATTTTGCATGTAACAGCTTATGTTTTTAAGTGTAGAGATGTAGGAATTTATTACTAATTCCTAGCACTAATCCTTAAGATCATTTGTTATATTTGTCTTATACCGTGACTTTAGATATGTACTCAAGAAATACTATCTCACCATCATTGTACAGAGGCTATAGAGGATACAATGATATCAGAACATGTCACCAGTCTTATTAAATTCTATCAGATCTTTGGGTTCAACTGCTAAGTTTAAATGTTCAGAGAATAAATTGGTAAATACCTGGATTTAAGTAGCCCTAAAGCAATTGCATTCTAAGCGGTCACCATTATCTAAAATCTAAATGTATAAACTTAAGTAAATTTTTATTTCATTGCCCTTAAATTCATATATATGTATGATATATATGTATATACATATAAGAATTGGAATAGATAAGTGACTTTCAAATGTTTTGCTCCTGGATCCACCAAATGATTTTTATAACTATGTATCCTTTGTAATCATTGGATAAGAGTAGCAAAGGATTTGGATAAACCTTGAAATTCATGTCTTGAAACAATAGAATTTTTTTTCTTTGCTCACACAAGAATCCAATGCTGCTACTCAGCAAGCAGCTTTCCATAAAGGAGTTCTTTCTGGATCCTTCTGCCTCGTATCTTCACCGTCTACAGCTTTGGAAGCATTCACTTCCGGCCAGTGGACTGGAGAAGAAAGAAGAGAGGTCAATTTCATTTGCCTGAAAAACACCCAAATGTCTTTAATAATCATAATTAATAGTCAGTAATGGTAATTCTTAAGCCTGATATATATTATTTTGCACTTCTTCTTCCCCGTCTTTTCTTTTTCAATGTAATGGCAGTGCATCGAGATAAGCAGGCTTGGCATGAAATACTATACTTGTGATTTGTGGCAGAACTATTCTTAAATGAATCTTTAATGCAGAAAACATTTCTGAGTCTTATCTTTTTGTAGAGTCTAAAACCAGTTGAGGGAGGGGGAGGGAGAGAGGAAGGAAGGAAGGAAGGAAGGAAGGAAGGAAGGAAGGAAGGAAGGAAGGAAGGAGTAGGAGGAAGAGGAGGAGGGAGGAAGAGGAGGGAAGGAAGGAAGGAAGGAAGGAAGGAAGGAAGGAAGGAAGAAAGGAAGGAAGGAAGGGATGAGGGAAGGAAAGAAAGAAAGTGAAGTGGGAAGGAAGAAAGCAGGGAAGGGACAGATAAAAATATAATTGCAAAAAAAACCCCCCAAACAATCATCTCATTGTTGGCATAGGAAAGCTACCAGTGCAATCAGAATTTGAGAGACTAAGATGCTGGAGAGAAAATAAACTCGCTAAAATGAGTGTGGTGCTTCGCTACTTTTCCACTGAAGCACAGGTCAATTTTTAAAATCACAGAGATGCTGAAAAACTCAGCAGAGCATGGCCGCTAAGCTGCAGATAAGTAAAATAGAACAGAATTAAAATTACATGGCTGGGGGAAAAAATGGAATTTAGGACTATCAATAGTCCAGAATTTGAGAGGAAAAGATTATACAGAGAAAAGAAGTAGGGAAAAGAAAGCCCAAAGATCTGAGCCAGTTTCACCACAAGCCATTCAACAATTCACAAGCAGCTTGGCTTGAGTAGTAGACAAACTAAGTATAAAGTGGCTACTAACAGGTTGAAAAGCTAAGCATAGCTCTCATCAGTATTGTATGTGGGGTAGAAAAAAACAAACCGATGCCCTTTACAGTGGTGACGTAATAGAAAATCTCTCAGGCTTTCATTCGAGGCCTCCAAAATATTATCTACACTTTATAAGTAAGGGCAAACCAGAAATAGAGACCAAGCCTTACAAACACTAAAACTCAGATGCAAATGAGTTTAATCCCTTATTAAATTTAACTGATGTACTATTATTCTACTTGTCTGCCGTAAGTTAATGAAAACCTTCTCTGGAGAAAAATTATCAGCCAAAGCTTCTGTAATTTTTCATACACAATTGCTAGCATTCGATTAAAAATAAACATAAAATAGACTAAAACAAAAAAAGAGGAAACAAAACAGCATGGGAAAAATATGGACTTTAGAACACTCTAATAGGCATTATTAGAGTTCTAGAAAAGAAGAAAAAGAAATCAAGGCAAAAACAAAATTTTAAAGTAATGTTCAAAAATTTTTCAAAAGTAATTTAAGCTTCTGATTTAAGAAACAATACAAATGACAACAAGAAGAAAAACACACCTTGCCAAATGATAGTAAAAACCATTGAAAACCAGTGATGAAAAAATCTGAAAACCAGCCAGAGGGAAA